GACATAATAACATGGAGACTGTATATTATCTTGAAAACAAGTATCACTCTTGCATAGATATAATTTCACATAATTTGGAACTCATTTACAAAAACATGCAACCACAACAAGATTATTATTACCTGGTGCGTCGAACACTGCCGTGAACAGCACGAATCCTAATAAGTAAACACGATAACACACATCCAAGTCCATCACACTGAGCTCAGGTACCGCCATATTGAATGCTGCAGAAGACCCAGGAATGTGCGATCGCCTGCAGTCAGAGCGTAAACCCGGCCAATCACGAGGCTACATTCCAAAAAAGCGCGGGACAACATTTCTGGCTGATCAAAACACAATCAACCCTCTTCCATCGCAGGGGTTACGTTCCTCGAGAACGTCGCGTTGGACGAACTTGAAGCGTTTTGTGTTAAACAGCGATACGAGAACCCGGCCACGTCGTCTCCCATTAGCACCCCGCGCACTACGTTCATTTTTACGCATACACAAATGAATCTCCCTACACATACGGAAACACAATAAAACCATATGGAAAATAACAATATTTCAATTGCTATATTTTGCTGTAAATTACGTACCGTGAATGATGAGGGGTGTCTGAGAGGAAAAATAGTAACCAACGGGTTGGTGTGTACTACTACGCCATATTTGGCAGACTGCGTACGTTCAAATTTTCCGCGCTCGCAAAGGATTGTTCGCATGTGTATTTGCGTGTTTAAGATAATTCTCTTTGGACAAGGGTTTCCTGTATTCGAAAGGAATGGGCAACACTATTACTTACAAACAATATCTATTTGTTGCCTATCGGATGTAAATTTCGTTTCGTTCACTAATTTCGATGATACAGCCCTATTTTAAAAATATCACATTACATACAGCAACAGTTAAGGTATTATGACATATTTTCAATGTGATTGGGAGTTTAATATTTTTGATATCTTCATCGCCGTGTGTATGTCATATGTGTTTTTATTTCAAATTAGTTCTGTCGAAGTCCCCAGACTTTATGCAACTCCGGATTTGTATGGAGCCTCAGTGTCCCACTACAAGTTAATAATCCAATCAATGACTTCATTAGTCATTCCAATTTAACAAAAACACTGGATACGAACGAGTTGTAATACACCAGTTGACAGCTCACAATATCACAACCTGGTATGGCGGATAAATATTTTAAGACGGTGTGCTATTTCCAAGTTTACTCTACACATATCGTGCTGAATACTTAAAAATCACGTCTTTGATTTTCGTTAAATATTTACCATCTGAAAACTATTTCTAGCTAAAGTAGCAAGTCTTAACACGCTTCATGTTTATGGCACGTTCAGTTCTTTACAGGACGCGACATTTTTTTGATAACATCGATCTAAAGTTCAGTTTTGAAGACGGTGGTCTTCTATGTTGCGCTGTGCAGTCAGGTAGAAACTAACCGACGTTGCAGACACGCTTACTGCCTCCATCAGTATCTCAAGACAGCCACATTCATATTCACGGACGTGAGAAACCGAGTCTCACCAAGCTCGATTTTATCTTCACAACAAGTAAGAATTCCACAATTTTTACTGTCAGAACCGCAAGACATTTCGTCGAAATCAGCCAAACTGTTTCGAAGTTGCACGGACGTACTGACAATAATATGGCAATCGTGTAAATTTGTAAAAAGAAAAGAAATACCTGTGTAAGAAACTGAGTAGCTTGGTGTGGCGAAAAACACTGCACATGTAAGGAATCAAGTGTAGCGTGTTCAAATCTCGGTGGGAATACAAATACTGGCATATTAACAGTTCATAACTATCGCACCATCTCATGCGTCGCTATGCAATTCTGTAGTTGAAACTAACGTCGTTAAAACCTAAGAATCATAAATAAGCAAGAAATTTCGAGTAAATATTATAGCGTATTTGGTGGCAATAAAAATCCTACGCAGATTACATTTATGTCAACACTGTTGTGTGGGTTGCTCTCCTGCTCCTGCCCCAGTTACACACGACAAAACACGATGACAGGAATCAACATATCAGGGCATTGAGCCGTATCTAAACTGCCTGCGTGGCAACTGGAAAAGCGTAAAAGTTCATCGTAAGAAACAGACGCACCGATCACAGAAAACGTAATGCAACTTACATTTATTACCTTCCGAGCGAAAACTAATGGAGAAATTAAAGTTTTCAGAAAGCAGAAATTCAGAAAAACTAATTGTAAAGAACAAAATCGCTTAATTCGCAAAAGGAGTGGGATAAATTGCAACCAGAGGAAATTCAAAAACACATTCACTGAGCGTAATGCTGTGAAATGGTATGCATAACTACCACTATCACTTATTTCAATTGCAGATGTAAATACTGTTGTTGCTCAATGATTTTCCCTAAACTTGACATAAGTATCGTGCCAAAGGATCCAAACCCCACTTCATTTTAACTCGTTTTAAATAATGCGCCCGCGTTGTTAAGCCTTGCAATTCTTTTGAACAGTAAATTGCGCGATTTGATTAAGGCGCCTTTCTTATGAAACAGGAAATAACAAGAATACGGTAACAAGGATAAATAACTGGACCACTGAAAATACCCTATGGTTAACTCTAACGCGTGGTGACATGTTATATAAATCGAGTGGTTCTTGGGGGAAATCGACTGAACGTGAGGTGAACAGGTCTCAGAATCGCGGCCATTGAAGTCGTATTTGAAATGTTAGACCTTCAAGTTCTACAGTCCACGACTGTAATCTTGAGACTTGCAAGGAATGCAGTAAGTCCGTAGCGTTAAAGGCAGACGCTATCTTTCCTCCTTCACAACGACCAGACCTGCTCGAAGACCAACCAGCCTCCTTTCCCCTAAGTAAATTTAGCGCAGCTTCAAACTGCCCACTGTCTTCCATCTATCGCCGAAGAACAGATTGCTTGCAGCTACCTCCTTATCTCCTTGCACGTTTCCCTGTTGTGGTGCTTAGACACAGGGACAATGCGACATCAACAGTTACAATAGCAGCATATTTGCTGAGATTCGAGTCCAGGACCCCCGCGTACGAATTACGTTTGTTAACATGCTACACGACACGTGTGAGAAAGGTGACTGAAAGCATGATATGAACCGATGATGATGAAGTGTCAACTAAGCAGACGATCATAACACACTGAAACAACTATTTTGCGGTAAAAGCTTTTCTGTGTGTGCGCGTATGGACAACGTACACTGATCTGAAGAGCAGTAAATGCTTGAAAATTGTCTCAAGACGCCTAAGTTCCTCGATACAGAACTCTTCCTCATGTCTACCAACACAAATGGGCAGATCAAAACGGCGGTATTTACTGTGAATTCATGGCGATTAACGTATACGACCGCTACATCATTTACAAGACAAAATGCTCCACAAATCACAATTAAAGCCCCGTCCACATCTAAATAATACCGCTCAAAACATTGTAAAAAAATTTCCAACAAAGATACAGAGTAAACGTCCATACTGAAATTGAAAGCTGGGAAGAGTTCAGCTTGTTTCATGACAAAAGATGTTTGTGTCATAATGTTTTCAGCAATGTTATCTAGACACTGACGGAAAACGTTTGTTTCTAACTGTCCTTTCATCTCTACCGACTGCGGATGGAAAAAATGTTGTCACTAATGCCGTTAGAAACATTTTAGTTAATAACATTTTCAAAAAAATCAAGTAACTTTTCTTGATAACACTGTAATATATTCTTTCAACAGTGCTATTCAGTGAAACCTGAGGTTACCACGGGAGCGAGTATGAAGATGGCTGTCTTCTGGGTTGTTGCGTCGGTTAGTCTGGTAGAAGCTTACCGACATTTCAGAGGTGCTTACTGCCTTCATCATCAACAACCCAGAAGACAGTCATCTTCCATGTTCGCCGCCATGATAACCTCAAATCTCACTGAATATAACCAACAACTTCAGCGTGGACAGTGCTTTGCCACTGGCTATATAATTTCGATTTCGTAATTTAAATGAAAATGGCTTGACCAAAATTTTAAGATCAATTTCTCCCATTCATGATTTCATACCTCCGATATTAGCCACGCCTATGGCTTCTACCGTTTAACAGAAACAAGATTCGTACGACTAAAATGTAATTATTGGTTCTTTCATTTGGCCACATGTAACGACTCCAATTTTGGTATTTGGTTTCGATTTCAGGATCCTGGAAAACGTTAACAGTTTTCGTAATTTGTACCACGTTTTGTTTATGTAGTGGCATGAAGAATTACATCAATTTTTAATCCCCAATATAAACTCAGAAATGTCTGGCCACCTTAAAAAAATAAGTGTTGTGAGTGAGCGTCTGTGCACACACACAACCTAGATTTGTGACACAACAACCTAGGGCGTGTGCGCGCGCAGCAACTTTTGAATTACTTCCAGCAATTGTTCTCACAGACCGATATGAACCTTTGAAACACCCTGTACTTCGTATTTGTAATACGTCAAGAACGACACGTAGCTTAAATCTTAGTACTAAAGACGTAACAGCAAACTAGGCCTACTACACAACACTTCAAAACATATTTTAAGATTACACTACATACATATACATACATACATATACATATATATATATATATATATATATATATTCATATATATATTCATATTTATGACATTGCCATTTCATTCTCATAAAAGCAGTTAAGCAGTTATAAGCAAGAAATTATCCTCTTCTGTGCAAATGAATTTTCAAGCACGGAGGAAACGCAGATTTAGACTCCATGGTGACCAAAATTCCGCAATATGCATCGTTCTACTTATTACAAAACTGACGAAAAATATATACCTTATTAAGCAGACACAATACGTATCAGCGGCAAGGCGACCGTATCTGGCCTTAACTGAAGTATTGACGAGTTATGTAGATAAGTCTTCCACCGCCAAGTCTCAACTACGCGTATGAATGAACAGAAACAGCCACGTTACGTAACAATAGTCATAACAAAACACTGTTCATTTCCATGTGAAGGCAGCAACAAACATTCAATTCATTATTACCTCATAACAAACTGCGGCTGCATTTCACTAGTACACGCTCCGACACCTCGTTCCCACTACAGAAATGGAACACATCCAGCAAAAACGGCAGCTTCGCGGTTTGTGAATGGAAGGCACAATCTACGGCTTTACAAACACTGTCCAACGTCATGAAATACGTGGCACAAGAAGCCTCAAGATGTGTATGAATGTGTTGGAGCGCTAATGGCACCAGTCTGCGCCTACGATGTGCAACAACTCCCAGCCAACACCAAGCGTCGAGGTAGACTGAATGAAGTGTACGCTAGTCGGCTGGTTGGCCGGGGGAGGGGGGGGAAGCTGAAGAGGGAGGGAGCGAGGGAGGGAGGGATAGATTGTGGTGGGCAAGCTCCTACTTCCGGTACCAACAATCGATACAAACCCGACTAAAGAGTCTTCCGGGACAAATGTGTAACGTACAGTTTCGGATAAAAAATGTACACACACGTATAAATCATTTGGACCATGACTGATTTACATAACATGACGGTCCGACCGCCTCAAGTTTTGCAGGAATCAATACTCTAGCAATCAATGATCTTCGTCCATTTTCTTCTTGGTTGATATTCGTATTCTACTACAGACGCTGACAGAATACATCGTGTAGTTATCGGGTGTTCGAAAAAGCTCGAGAAACGCGAAGCCACTAACGTATACTGCAATATAAACTGACGGAATCGAAATGTTGAAATTATATGGAATAAGGCGGTCATGACTTATTTCAAGGTAACATCCTGGCACCTGCCTGGGGATCTGATAAAAACCACAAAAATCGTGTAAAGATAGCCTGTCTCCGGGCTGAGATTTGAACTCAGGACCTTCAGAATACGAACCAGGATTTCAAACCACAACAATTACAAGCATGGAGGTGATTTTAAACTTTCTGGTTAAGCCTGAAAAAATTAATGTACTCGAAACAATGCACAGAAATGGATCACAAAATTGCATAAATATTAGTTTATAGGTTTTTCTAGTTTCACCAACAGGCCTAATTTGTAGTACTTGGAAGAAATAAGTGTCGTAAGTTCTCCCCTGGAATACTTGTTCTCTTCTACTGTTTCCATATCTGGTCGGTTATCATACGCACAAAAAAAATTAAAACGAAGGTCATTGACAGATAAAGAAAGAGTTAAACTGGGCTTGCAATCAGAGTATATCTAATCGAAAACTCGCTATTGCAACTGTTAAGTCGGTGTATGATCTGAGGCTTTCACGGCGTATAAGGCGGTTTAATGAAAAAAAATCACCAACGTTTCGAGAACTAACTTCGTCCTCAGGACGTCTGGTAGCCCAAGAAGAATTCATTAAGGCAAGTCAGTGTTTACTGTGGACTCCGGGTTCGAACCCAGTTCAATTCGCGTCTGATTTGTGGTGCACACAGCGGCACTGAGACAGAATTCTCTCCAAATCCTTTGGCTTTCCCCTGTCAGTATCACTCATACGAGGCATAGAGGTCCAGTTGCACAGAGACATGGTCTCACACCACCACAACAATAACATTAAGCCACTGTTCGCTACGTCACTGCACTCTGTAATTGCTAAGCGACAGCCGAACAAATAATAATTCACTGAGAAAATGGTCGTCGTATTAATACGACAACACCGTATTCTAAAAGTACTCGATTCCTAATATATAAGATGGCTGGTTGTCCTGATACATGTTGTGGTTTACTTCTGTGCCTCAAGGAGAATTTAGAGCTTCCTCCCACATGGTGCCTGATCGAGCATTCATAACCATCATGCCATGTCCTATCGGGCGTTATGTACCTTCAACAATTAACACATCGTCGTGAAAATCACAATAAACTAAAACGAAACCAGGATGCCCTCTACCCATCCTCATTGGAACATTTTTCCAGTCTTGGTAACACATAGTGAAAACTAATGTAAAATATGTGTAACTGTAAGAACCAAGTGAGATTTCAGGTTCTCACGGCGGCGCGTATTAACATGGTTGTCTTCTGAGTAGTTGTGCCATGTAGTCTGCTACCGTGTGCTTGCTGCCTCCATCATCAGCACGATCGCGCCTCTAAAACATCGGAAAAATTCAACCAAACTACACGGCGCAACAGCCCAGAAGACAGCCATTTTATATTCACATTTCTTTTATACAAATCAGTTATTATAGTGATCGTGTAGTGACAACAAATTTTTTTCAGAATTTTTAAAAAGTTTCGAAAAATAAAAAAGTGTAGCAAATTGTCTGAAAGGCGCACAAAACCAAAAATTTTCGAAAAATTCTTAAAAATTTTCGAAGTTGGAATTCTTCAAATTTTCTTGGTATTGTGCGCTTTTTGGACGTTTTCCTACATTTTTCAGTTTTTTTATTATCATTTTAATAGGTGAGATAAAAATGCCTTAAAAGAAATGGGACAATCAAAGAAAATATACAGAGAAAGTAAAACTTTTATACAGAAATTCAAAATTTTGAATGTTTATTTGTGGTTGCAGATAACCTGGGGAAGCCATCTCTATCCACAAGGTTCCGTGGAAACTTGCGGTAGGAAGTTCAATCCAGATAACTGCTCTGTATGTGACGTCACAACACACAAACCCGTCTCCTGCTATAAGTGGCAAGTGGGTAGAGTGACAAACGGACACAAACCACGCGGACATAATAATCTTGTAATGGTACCTTGGCTTAAAAACGCAAACATGTTGAGAGAGACGAAGAAAGCAAGCCATTATTCGCATTTAAGAATATGAAAGGAAATAAACATACATTTTCAAATTGTTCCTTGCTTTGTGTATTGACAAACCTGTGTCTTACAGATAAATTTTTTCTTTTCCGAATTACTTTCAGAGTTGCGGATAATTCGGGAAAATGCCACGAAGAGAAAAAGAGAGAGACTTTAATAAGCATATATGTCTTATAAAAACCTATAATAAACACTTCAACATGTCCACATCTAAAATCCAGTTCAGAATATAAATGATAAAGAGTGGTAACTACAAAAATAAGATTCTGTAAGATGTGGAAAGAGCTTAATTATATGAAAAGTAAGTCTGAAGTTGATAATCCTTATTGATAATTAATGGCAGCACTGTAACATACCTTCCTTACACGTAACAATCATAACAAACAATTTATATCTAACCGTGTAGAACACGAAGATGTTTGGATGTGCAACAGACTGCGGCAGTTTTGCAGTAATAACAGATTCGTATTCTTATGACTGACTACTAAAGTGTACTGCGAGGAAATTAGACAAAATTTAACACTTTTTATCAATCTTTCCTGCCCGAAAGCTTATCATAGGCCTGATAATCCGGCACTTAAGTCTATCGGTGAATATCATAGAAGGAATACAGTCCCTGTGCCCAAGAACATTTCTCTTCACGGTCTTATCTACAGTAATTCGTTTTAAAGATATTCGTCAGGATTTTACAAATTCCTTCTGTATGAATACGCATAAGTAATATTCTACCTATTCATGTTCGTTGCACCATAAATGTGACGGATTGTGAAATATATTATAGCGACCAGCTCAGAAAAGAAAGTAGTTAGATATTCATGCGTCAATTTCATTTACGAAATTAATTAGTAGAATCTTTAAAGACAGGAAAATGTTTTAATAAGAATTTGTATTTACAATCTTCTGATAATGATACTTAATACAAAGATTATTAAAAGTAATTATTCTTGGGAATACAAGTGTTTTACGTCCTTATGATGAGAATCCATCACAGAACGTCTTTATAAATTATATTTGTTTCGTCCCACCCGTGAGCGCCAATACACGCACGCCTTTTGCAGAACCATCTTTTACCTTCTGTTAATCCGTTGAACCCGAAGTTCGTGTAAATAACATTAAAGAATTTAGTCCGTACCTCAGAGAAACCGCCACACACAACAATTACAAAGATTAACTAGTTAACGCTGTCAAGGAAATTATCGCTGCTTACAGCGAGAAATATATGAAACACAAACACAAAATGGAGAGTTACTGGCTGTTGAAGAAGGTTGGATATATTATTACCTACAGCTGGGACGCCTAGTTTGAACTAGTGTAGCGCAAATAGGACCGACAAAGCAGAGAGACTGAATTTCCTTGTCATTCATACTGTTAAATTTTGTTAAGGATTTGCTTCTTGTCATCTACAGAAACACGCTGAAAGCACATTTATGAAATACCTAAAACACAATGTCTTGTCTCACATTTCGTTTGTAACTTACACTAAACCCAAAAGAAAATGTCACTCATTTTGGTTGCCGGCTACATTTACGAATAAACCTGCATTTCCTGCAGCCTTTTCCTGTTATTCTCGCTCCAGTGTTTCCCTGGTGCGCTTCTTCAACTTTCTTAGTCTTTACGTCAGTCCTTTCCCAAGCGTCTTCCTCCTTCCGTGTATTTCACTATCAGATTCTGAACTAAAGCTGACATTCAATGAAAAACATATTTCATGGTAACAAACATGTGAACTCCGTGTAGTTTTGCCCTCTGGTGAAAGACACGGAACTATCTTCCTTACTACGGAGATAATATTAAAAATTCCGAGCTGTACAAACCATACTAACTCTAAAATACATCCGAGTTGAAAGTGAAGCCACAACATGGTTTTGCTGTAACTTTTCAGCAGACCGAGTTTCGTGTCTCAGTGTGGCACGTAGCTTGTTCTTGGCATAGGATTTTATTCCTGTCAGTAGTTTCATTCTCAATAAAACCCATACGTGAGAGGACTCGGTCAAATTTGGAGCTGGCACATTTTCGCATTAGGTCCTCGATTTATTAATGTTTATGGTAGGAGCGGATGGGAAGGCGAGGCGAAACCACCGTGGTACTTTCACAAGAAAACCCCGAAAGGGGTCACGACGGTCAAGCTGACCATATACGATGAGCCCCAGATGCAAAACATAACAATTTTTTCTTTCGACCCATTTGGTTGAATTCCCAAGAAGATATTCCACACAAAGCAAAATTAGAGAGATTCAGAGACGAAGTTGTGAATTAATTGTCTGGCGTGGCTGTGGTAGCCTGCACTGCAACCATTGCGTCGCATGCACTAGTAGGTTCCTCCTTTTCTTACAGAAATGCCATGATAAGCCACTTCGTCGCGAACCTTAAAAGTGCAGGCACATGACGCCAAGAAAACAAGTGCATGAAACTGTTGCAATATCCTCACCAACATCTGACCTCCAAAGTCTATTTATAGTCCACACTGAATGAACTGAACAATAATAAACGTCTTGTAAGTGGATTATGTGTTTCGGAAGTAAGAAAAAAATAAGACAAGCGG